TTAAATAGTCAACTTCCTCTACGCTTTCTCTTTGATGTAGCTTTTACTACGTCTGAGGATCATCCTCCGCCTTCTACTTTGGGTAATGAAAGAGATGTAGTGCAACTACTTTCTATCTATGAAAAAGGTGAGTATGTCGCCTTCTACACTTACTTTTATACTACTTGTTATCATTTGGTGTCATCTAAGGACCACCGAACTTGGTCTTAGGTTCAACGTCAGCAGCACCAGGTGAGCTACGTAACAAAAAATTCGAAATAGTTGCACGTAGAGGTTCGTTTGGTTTTCTATCTGCTGAAACAATAATTGTTTCCTTTCGTTCACCTTAATTTTAACCGTCTATTTCTAACATATAGGTCGTGCACCAACTACAATGTTTGCTCCAATTACCGGTCGGTTGTGTTCAAACTATGTTCTGCTGAAGAAAGTTCCAATTTGCAAATTTTGCGCACCAAAGAGATTTGAATATGAACCGCCTGCATTTTGCTGTGGTAGTGGAACAATAAAGTTAACTTCTTATCAAATTCCTACCAAGCTGCGAAATTTATTTCTTGGAAACAGTGTGAAGTCTAAACACTTCCGAACATACATTAGAACGTATAATAACCTTTTTGCGTTCACCTCACTTGGTGTAAAGTATGACAAAGATTTAGCAAAGAGTAACTTTGGTATCTACACATTTAGAGTTCAAGGGAAGATGTACCATTGGATAAATAATTTGCACCCTACAGATGACAAACCAAGAAATATACAGTTATACTTTTATGATAATTGCAATGATCTAGCACATAGGATGGCATGTTTCGACAGAATTCACGAATCAGTAATGAAAGAATTGATGGATATATTATCAATAAACCCATATTCTGTGTTTTTACGATCTTTGGTACATGTATCGAACCTTCAAGATTTCCAAATAGCCCTCAAATGCGACTTAAATTTGGACCAGAGAGTATACAATTTGACGACTTCATTTGAAATTGCAGCAATATGGATCGAGGAAAATAATGGCGTAGCCTTGAATGCAGCAAATATTCAAATTTACCCTCGCACTGATCGAACATAAATAGTGAATTACTATTATGGCTGTTATGATGCATTGCAATATCCGCTATTGTTTCTGCTAGGGCAAAGTTGCTGGCATTGTGGTATTAAGAAGCTCCCAGCAAATTGTCTTGCGTACTTAAGAACTGCGCATCACGAAGAGGTACCAAGTATAAGAAATGTTACGTCCCTTGACGGATATCTTGAAATGGAAGATGAAATTCTTAAAAAGGGACAGCGACGAAGAGATACTGTTTCTGTTCGTGAGTATTATTGTTACAAATTACAAATGAGAAGTGATGATAAAGATGAAATATTGCATACTGGAAGAATATTTCAGTAGTATTTAGTTGATGAATACATTAAACTCGAAACACAAAGGTTGGATTTCGCAGCGTTCAATCAAGATTTATTTAGGACGGCTATGCTAGAAGGACTTCTTGACATCTTGCGATTGGGTGAACGCGATGCTTCTAATATCGGGAAACAAAATTTCCTTCCAAGCTCCTTTATTGGAGGGCCTCGGGATATGCGACAACGGTACATGGATGCTATTGCGCTCGTGCAACATTTCGGTAAACCTGATTTATTTATAACCATGACATGTAATCCCTCTTGGACGGAGATAAAAGAACATTTAATTCCAACTGATGAGTCGCATAATAAGCCTGATTTGATCAGCCGAGTATTTAGAGCAAAAATAGAAGAATTCAAAAAGGATATACTAAAGCGAAATATCTTTGGAAAGGTAGCAGCTTTTATGTATACTGTAGAGTTCCAAAAGCGAGGTTTACCACACGCTCATTTTCTTATAATATTGATTAATGAATACAAATTACTTACTCCAGAGGCTTACGATAATATTATTAGTGGTGAAATACCTGATGAGAATGCAGAACCAGATTTACATTCGCTTGTTCTTAAACACATGATGCATGGTCCATGCGGTAATCTAAACCCAACAAATTCTTGTATAACTCATGGGTTGGTGGTAAAAATAAGAGAACAATACTTGGATAACTCATGGGTTGGTGGTAAAAATAAGAGAACAATACTTGGATAACTCATGGGTTGTTCCATATAATCCTTTTTTGCTGCAAATTTGACTGCCATCTGAATATTGAAATATGCTCTGATATTAAAGTCGTTAAGTATCTTTATAGGTATATATGTAAAGGCCATGACAAGATTGTATTTTCGGTACATAATAACGACACAAACGCAAAAGTAGATGAAATAAAGGAATATCAGTCTGCTAGATGGGTGTTGCCTCCCGAGGCTATGTGCCGCTTGTATGGTTTCTCTATTAGTGAAATGTTACCGACCATATGCCCTCTTCAACTTCATCTTAAGGGACAATATTTTGTTTCATTCAAAAGCAGCGCAAATGTAGATACACTTGCGATGTTAACACAATTTTTCGAAATGAATAGAACAAATGTTGAGGCTATGGAGCTCAATCTATTATACCGAGAATTCTCTGAACATTTTGTTTGGTCTTCAACAGAGAAGACGTGGACACCTCGGAAACAACGACATGCTATTGGTCGTGTTGTAACATGTCATCCAACGGAAGGTGAGCGATATTATCTTAGAATGCTATTAATGAATATTAAAGGACCAAAATCATATAAAGATTTACTAACTGTTAATGGAGAACGTTGCAGCACCTTTAGAGAATCAGTGAAAAAACGGGGATTGCTACAAAGTGATAATAGTTTGCATGAATGTATGTCAGAAGCAGCAAGTTACCAGATGCCATACAGTTTGAGATGTTTATTTGCTACATTAATGATTTACTATAATCCTACGAATCCAAGACAACTCTAGGAAGAATTTGAAAAGCATATGTCCAAGGATTATACGTTGGTATCCAATATTAACAAAAAAAATATTCGATACCAAGTTTTGAACCATATTAACGACATATTACACTCTATGGGTGATGACATAAATGAATACCAACTCATTCCTGAAACAATAAGGCCTTCAGTAGTGGCAAAAGAGGCAAAGGAGGTATACTTTGAAAGGACCATCACGGTTACTAATGAGGATATACTATTACACAAAAGGTTGAATAAAGATCAACTTAAAGCATACAATATAATTACAGAGAGAATTTTTTCAAACAAAGCTGGGGCATTCTTCATTGACGGACTTGAAGGAACAGGAAAAACCTTTTTATATCGTGCATTGTTGGCAACTATACGATCTAAAGGGTATATAGCATTGGCAACTGCCACTTCTGGTGTAGCTGCATCTATACTCACTGGTGGACGAACTGCACATTCACGTTTTAAAATACCAATAAATACTGACGACTATGTGAGCTGCAACATCAGCAAACAAAGCTCACTTGCCTGTTTGATTCAGGATGCAAAATTAATTATATGGGATGAAGTATCTATGGCGAAAAAAAGAATGATTGAATTGCTTGATTTACTTTTGAAGGACTTAATGGATTCGACGATACTATTTGGTGGAAAAGTTGTAGTTCTTGGACGTGACTTCAGGCAGACATTGCTGGTAGTTTGGAACGGAAAAAAGGAAGATTTCATTAATGAAAGTTTACTATATTCTCATATCTGGGAAGAACTTGAAAGGCTGCGGCTATTCGAAAATATAAGACCAAAAGATGATCCTTCATTCTGTAATTATTTGTTGCGAATAGGAAACAAAGAAGAAAAAGTAAACACAACAAACAAGATTGAAATTCCAACTTCTTTGATCATTCCTTATACAACCGAACAGGAATTTTTGGATAAATTATTCGCGATAACTTATCCAGACGTCCATATATTTTTTTCCTCCTCATGATACACAAGTTCTCACGTTATCTTAACAACTAAGAATGATTTTGTCGATGATATCAACGACATGCTTGTTGCTCGTTTCCCAGAAGAATCAAAAACTTTTATTAGTATTGATGAAACTACTAAACATCATGATCAATCACAATTTGAGGATATGTTGCACAGTTTAAATCTACCTGGTCTGCTTCCTTACAAATTGATATTGAAACAAAATTGTCCAATTATATTATTACGCAATTTAAATCTGTGTGATGGTTTATGCAATGGAACACGTTTGACTTGCTGTAATTTTAAATCGCATGTTATTAGCGCCAATATTTCAGTTGGTCACTTTAAGAATACACATGTGTTTATCCCCAGAATACTACTATTATCATCCCAAGATGAAAAAATACCTATTCCTTTTAAAAGGACACAATTTCCTGTAAGACTTTGCTTTGCAATGACTATAAATAAAGCATAAGGTCAGACATTAGATTTTGTTGGAGTTTATTTGCGAGAACCTGTGTTTTCACACGGTCAACTTTATGTGGCTTTGTCCAGAGCAAAGAGTTCGAACTACGTGAAAGTGCTAATCCGATCGACTATACCAGGTAGCGCGGACGATCACTACACAGATAACATTGTTTACAAAGAAATCATCCAAAAAGCTACTTTATAGGGATATTCCGCCAAGAACAGATAGTATCCTAACTAAAAAAATGAAATAGCTGACGAAGGATACTTATGATGTGCAATCCGGTCGGTAGCAATCATCGTGTATTCGTTTCAAGTGTTGAAAACTACAGCTGATGCTCTTTGTGCACATGATTGCTCCAACAAAAGATGAATCAATAGAAGGCTGTGGCATTCGTTTAGATGATCGTAGAGAGGTATTTTTGCATGAAAATGTAGTACAGAAAAAATAATTCGTTAGATTCTACAAAGTCATTAGGTATACAGGGGGAAGATAATTAGCCATGACTGATCTTTTTGACTAATAATGCAGAGTTTGTGTGCTAATTGTCACTGCATATAATTTATTAAATGGAAAAATTTAATCCGTCTAATCAGGTCATCCATTTTATTATCTATGTGTACCTGTTTTTTTATCTTTCGGTATATATTGGTGATGTCTTTTTCCCCCCAATGTAGAGTCTACATAATACATGGAGCACAAATTAACCATTGATAGGATTACTCCACAAACAAAAGAGTGGACATTAAAGGTACAACTCATTGAGAAACCGCGGCCAAGGCAAAGTAAAGATGGAAAGACGCGATTCCAGATTGCTGTTGTCCGAGATGAAAGAGTAATCTTCTAACTACCGTGTCACTTCTTATTCTACTGGTTGAAATATAATTGCAATCGCCCGTATTCTTTAATTGAAAGACAAGAAACAGATCCATCTACTTAGGTAACCACAAGTTTAATCGTTTCTGTCACACTTGCTATGTGAGGAACTAAATGTTTGAGGTGCTCTATGAAAGTAGATATTCCACATTTACCATTCATGTTTGTCTGATATTAGTTTTTTAGATAAAAATTGTGGTACCAAACTTTGCAATTCTTCTTTGGATTACATATTTGTGCCTTTATAGTACTTTATTTGTCCAGAAGGATATATTTGCAGTACACTTTGCAGTCATCGCATTTGAAATTTGCTTAAACTTCTTACATCTTAAGAAATTAAAGGGCAAGAATTAAGAAGGCATGACCAATTTGATGGTAATTATTTCATTCATTAAATGTTCTTTCTCAAAGGCCACACTCTGATAAAACAAATGTCCATAAATTAGTCACGATGATAAGCTTGTCATTACACACCTCTAATTATTTTTTGCTTCAAATTTATCTTTCGAGATATCATTATGAGATCTGTTACGTTACAAAAAGTAATATAAATCTTCATAAATTCTAGGAAGATGCTATTTGTGTCTTAGGAAGCCTTTTGAAAATCCAAATTATGCATCACAATAAACAACATAAACTCACGTTAAACTCAGATTACATATACTATTTCAAACAATAGAGTAAATGGAAGCATTCTTAATTGCTAGACATCTGATAGATCATGTATTTGTTGAACACACACCCACAATGCTAATAATACCAAAAATAGCTCATTGAAGTACTTCAGCTCACAAATTACTTGCATAATGGCAATTAAATATTAGGTTTCACACATATATACCTGGGCATAAACATAGGAATATGTTTCCTTTTAATTTAAAGTGTTCTCTTACGTGAAAGACTCTTCTCGATTGATTTTCATTCGTTAAGTTAGCACTTTAGACCTTTCCTTCAACTGTAGGAGTGTCATTTCATACTTATCCTTCCACGATTGACAGATTATTAAAACCATATTGTTTTCCTTGTGTTAACTGATCATATATGCTTTTATTTAGTAAGTTGAAGGATTAAATGTAGACGTTTTCTCTAACGTAGTAAACTTAGACTTTCATAATTGACAGATTATTGAAATCATGGTATTGCATGTCCTTGAAACGTTTTACGTAGTTGGCTAATAATAATACGAGTAACTAATATGTCAATATCCTTTGGTAGTCATACATTGTATCCAAGTTATTATTCACCCTGCTTATTTGCAATCCTTTGAAGTTCATTTTATTTACTACCTTGTTGCAAACCTTTCGACTGCTACACGATCCTCCCGGTGAACTGACCGTACCCCAAACCGATACAGGTGAACAAGTAGAGTATACTAGGGCATATTTTCCATGTAATACCAATTCTCAGTTAACTAATGTATACATCATTTTAATTTTTCTTTTTACCAAGTGATTTTTTAACTTTCTACCCGCATGGAATACGAACCACACTTCGTAGCATGTCTATTTGATGTCGTCCATAAGGAACTATTAACTTACTTTCTCTACTATTACTACTGGACTATTAGTGAGACTAAGAATGAAATATCGTCAATCGCATTCAAAGTTGTTTCGAGCAGTAACAAGGTTTCACAAACAACTTTGGTTACGCTATTATTCTTCCATCGTTTTGTCCAAATTTTCATGTTCTCAAGAACCTGTGCATTTAGTTATCCCTTTCCCCCTAAATTCCAATTGACAAGTAGAAGAAAAGAGAAAACAGCTGGTGGAAGCATGAGATGGTGGTGTACGTCATAAGAAAGGTAGCTAAAAGTGGTGGCAGCTTCAGCTTGGCCTCATAACAGAAGTAGCTAAAACTTTTAGAATTTCTGGGGTGGTCACAAAAAGTTTCCCCACTCAGTTTCTTCTCTCATTTAAACGTTTTAGACGTATATAATTACTTTACATATTTTGCGATGCAATACAGTGGATTCTCTTTACTTTTGCTGCATGAGATCTACATCTGAGAATGGGGAGTTCAACTACACATTCTTTAGTTCAAAGAGAGATGCTGACTTTATGTCAATGATATGAAACAATTTTAGTTGCTTTATGACTGACTAATATTCTTCCTCGCGCCCTTTTTTGGTAGCGCTCTACAAATTCCAATTCCTGTATAGATTAGTTATCAATTGTATTTCATGAGTTTGAGGCTGCTCATACTGTACTTGTTTACTATTTTTATATTTCAGTATTTTGCATCTGTATGTCTCCATGTGTCTATATGGATACACTTCCGCAAGGGTAGTTGAGTAACTCATCATTCTATCAAATTATAGGAAGAGCAAGTAGCCGCTGTTCTGTACGGGGAAGACATAGAAAAGTATGTAGACAAGCTCACCCCGTTTTCCACTTACTTGATATCTACTGCAAAAGTGAGGGTTCCTTTACCCTACGAAGTGCCTATCAACCGTTTTGAATGGGTTATTGACAAATTCACTATCGTCGAAGAGGTGAAAGATGATAACATATAAGACCCACCGCTCCCGCCGCCGACGAGGTTGAATACTGTACTCTTTGCATATTTACATGAGCAGCAGCGAAATACGGAATTTGGTAACCATTATTTAACGCGTAGTATACTCTAGCAATTAAAATTTATTTGTATCCTTATATTCTGACACTGTGTACATTGGTCTAAATTATAAGTCATTTGCAATGTTCACTAAACAGACATAGTTGCTGTTATGGTGAATTGTGGCTCCATAAAGTATGCTAGCGCTAACAGTAACAAATGTCGTGAAGTCGTTATAATGGATACCAAGTAAGTTTGCTGGCACTCTATTTACTTTATTGTTGTCGCAACTACTTGTAAAAAAAATTGGCTACAATGTCGTCTTATTCAGTTGATTACTTCGGTCAGATACCTTCAATTAAGAAGTTATAATGTCATGAGATTATAATCTCAGCCATCTCCTCATCAGTGTGACCTTCTTCGACTAAAGCTGGCAAGAAGAAATTTCTCCAGACTCATTTATTGCATCGTCAGCTTGATCTATGACACTTGTCTTACCGTTTCATTCAACAAATTTAATCTTTCTACGAATAGAACAAGGCATTAGATCTCCAAAAAGAAATTGTATAGGCTTTCAGTCATAATCCAGCTTTCTCTTCGTCCTGACAATTTGAGCTACAACATTTCAGCGATTACCATGGTTTAGTACAAAATTTTTTTTTGTATATTGGCCTTGGTAAAATCCAATACTACTCACGAGAAAAGAAATGCAACGAAGCCTGAAATATGTTTACCACTGTTTTTTTAATATGTCCATTACTACCTTTTTTTAATGTGTACATTGACTGCTATCATCTGACACATCTTAGTCAAAAAGACTTCATTAGTAAACGGGAGATCAATATTCCTCATCTTCTTGATGAATTTGATCAACTAGGAAATGAAGTGCTGATGATTTTTCAAAAGTCAATAACCTGATTTTCCAATGTGTCACATTGGCTGAAAGCATCCATCCAAATGCTCCCTTATTACTCTTCTATGTCAATTACAACTTTCTGTAGTAATATTTTTGGTTGACAAAAAAACCTTAACAATGAATGATAAAGTGCAATATATTAACATATGAAAAACTATTTAGATAAGTTCTTAAGTTCCTACACAGACAGAAAAGTTCCCTTCTGAATCCTTATACGCGGCAATCTATCAGGTAATTTATCTGTTCTCTTTTTCGAACCCTAAAATGTATATTTTTACTATATATTCGCTGCGTAGACTTTAGAAAATACGGTGACAATTACATATTCCAGAAGTCATTAGTTCCAAACCGGAAAAAACTGTATAGGTCATGCTGCATTTGTATGCTTAAACACACAATATGCATCATTTAAATGATCTTTCTGTCAACCTTCACTCTTCTGCGCGAACATGTTACTTACTTATAGCATTGTTTGAATTCCAGTCTTACCGAATTGTCTCTGCTATTTTTATATTTACCTCTTCTTTATTACTCTTGATGACATTGTTAGACTTATATTTTTTTTATTAGGTAGTGTCACTTATTGCCCATTCATTTTACTGCAGTATGAGGTTTACTATTCTTACGATGTGGGAAGACTTCGCTGACACTGATGGGAGCATCCTCGCTGCACAGGTTGCTGAATACCCAATAATTGTAGCAAAATGAATTACACGAGCCAGCTATGGCGGTATGGAAAACATTATGCTTTTTTTTGGATATTGCAAGAGGTCTGTTGTGAATTCTTTACTAACATAATATGTCATATAGGATTATCATTGTCGACAAGGTACAACTCGGTTATACTAATAAATCCACCATATCCTCAAGTTGGAAGACTTTTGAACTGGTATGGAACAAATATTGACATAATGAATTTTATATTTGGTTAATTAGTTCATGCAAACTAAACATGTGTGGCTTAAACTAGATGGTCCAGCATATGCAATTTCCTGCTGCACTACCGTGCTTCCCTTCTTCCCAAAAAAAGAGACATACTTAGCATGCTATAAATTCAATATTTTTCTTTCAGTTAATTACAAGTTTATAACAACTTGGCATTTGTGTATCTTAATTGAGATGGTTTTGAACTACATTGCATCTCATTTTACAATATAATTTTATGAGTTTAAAATCTTAGAACTTATATGCAAATTTTCTCACCAAAATAATTTACTGAACAACTCTTGGGGAAGTGTCAGTTTGCCCTTATATTCAGTGAGTATTTTAGTATGGTATATATAACATTTGTAAGAATAACCAGTACTTCTATGAGCTTCTAATATGTACTATTACCCCTTTGATTAGCTATGAAACAGCACCGCACCGCATTGGTTTCCGGAGATAGCTGCTGTACCATCTGATAAATAAGGTGATACTGTTGTTCAATGTTAACTTGATTTCTGCAAAATTAATTTACTCCTCCAACAGGAACTACTACAGTCACTGAGGCTAATAGTTTTTTATTTGTATTTTTAGAACGTGTCTACACTATATGTCCACACACCACATTTGTACTATATGTTGGAGCTCTGGCCAGTTGAAAATTATGTTATTTGCATTATAATTGTGGTCAACTAGAAGAAATATTTATTTGGTACTTTCTGTTGATTTTCAGTGTTGTTGGTGTAATCTGCACAATAATTTGTCACTGGAATAACCAATTCCTGTTATTTCCTATGTTTTTTAAGTTTGTCAGTTGTCACAACCTCTTTGTGTCATTTTAAATGTACCTCACATTTTGTTGCCATTGAAATGCCTCCATACACGTACAAGGTCAAAGACAACCGACCAAGATTAATGAGATACAATCGACAAATGGCGTGCTTGCAGCAGAACAAAACGATAGTGTCCCAATTGCTGCTATCCAGTCACAACCTCATGTATGTGCATTTCACGCATGATAATATGTGTACATATAGACAACTTTAGTATTTTTAACCCAACTAAATAAATCTACTTGCATTCTGCTCTTTCACAGATATAACTATTTTACGTGGAAGGTAAATTATCATTTCCGACTGCCGACCAAGATTTCTATGAATTACTGTGTTCCCACTGCGGGCAGTAGTACAAAACTCATTCGCCGAAAATTATTCACTATGCAAGCTGCAAGCAACGTGCGATGTTGACACCCAGGTATTGCGTCTTGGAGTCCGAGCTTAATAAAATATGTTTGTTCTACATCTTCAAAGAAATAAAGTTTCTTTAGTCATTGGCTTTATGAAAATCAAATAACGCAAATTAATTGCATGTTAGGGCCCGCTTTGAGGTTGTAATGACAGATGTCAGTGGATCAATTGTTGCAACATTAATAGGCGAATTAGGAGAGAAATTTCTTGATATGACCGCCACAGATATCTGTGAAATATCAGCTAAGGTAAGTTGTTGATGGTAGCAAGAGAAACTTTTTTACAACTATGATACCGTGAAAACAAGTTTGCTCTTACTTTTTCCAATTATGTCTTCCTTGATGTTTGCCTTTGTAGATAAAATGTAATCACTAATTAAATAAGATGGAAAAAATATCTTAAAGAAAGTGATTTGATATTTTGTTTATAATTGAATTTCAGAATTACAACTAAAGCAGTCTCACTTACACCTTAAATGGTCTAGTGGATAAGTTTTTCAAGACAGACAAAACCATACATAGAGGTAAAAAGAATATCAAAAAGAAAAAACTCAATAGAAACAATGAAGGGAAATATCTTCATAATTAATTCAGAACTTTGGTGGATTTCAATAATGACAAATAAAACTAGATAGGCTGCATGCAAACCTAGAATAATGAGATATTTATTCTAAAACAACAACAATAAAACTAGGAAGTTCCATAAAACAATAAATGGTCTGTGAATAGACTTTTCGATACTGAAAAAAATTAGAAAATAACAAGATAAGAAAAATTAATGCTCAACAAAAATCAATTTTAATTAAATTTAAAATGGGTTTCGCCGACATCCCGAACAAACACAATATTTAGTCTTAAATTTAACATTACAAGATAAGAACTTGAGATATTATTATTATTCTCATTGACAGATTGTTTTTTTAAAGATACCTGCACGCAAATTGGAGCAGACACCAACACAAAAAAAAAGAAAGAAAAAGAAATGCAAGTCATCCAATACTTAGTCAAGTGTGATTAGAACAAACCATTCTTCTCAAATATCTTTATTCTTCCTTCTAAAAATTCAGAGTGTCTTGAAAGGACATTAACATTAACCCCTTGAAAATTCTTAGATTAAATCTCACTGATAACTGAAAATTAGAACTTAAAGTTAACAAGAGAGAAAAAATAAAGAGTCAGAGACAAGAAGAGTAACAAAACGAGGAAAAAATGAGATTTTGTTTGCTTGTATTAAGCAAAATGATGTTGACTTACGTTATCTTACGCAACTACGTACTTTTGTTCCCACCAACGTATGCTTGTTAATTGATTAACCCTAGGTTGTTACTTGAATATTCAATGTTGCTTTGTTAGTTCATCATCTGACTTGTACTGCTTGGCAATGTTAGTTACTGCCAATGCACAGAGGTTGTCAACAATTCTCTTAATAAAGTACCAATTATGTCTGCTTATACCTCCATTTCCACATGCTTGTCGAAAACTAAAACGTCTTCTTTAGGTCGCTTAAGTATTATAATTGGCTTCTTAAATTCATCATTAATCAAAAGATAATTAAAGTCTATAGAAGCTTGTAGCCTCTGCATCCCAAGTACTTCATAGGCTTAAAACATCCAATTAATTCAAAGTATATTACTTTTTAGTACTATTTTAATGTCTTAAATTCATCTTTTTCTCTCCTGCAGAACCGGCCATTACCTCTTGAACATGTTCGACAGCGTCTTCCTCATAGACTCTTCAAGATACAGCTACGGAAAACATTTTCTAGAACTTTTGATACACGGTTGTTCATTGTGTCCTACTCTATGAAGGAAGATTTGTTTCAATTGCCCGTACTAGTAGCCTCTGAAGAAATTGGAGAGAGCAGTAACACTAAATTAGAA